ATACTGTTCGCTCTGGGTCTATTCGGTGCTGTGCTCTTGAGCTGTGTTCTCAAGGGGACAGGTACCTTTTGCTTTGTAAATGTTGTCCTGCTTTTAGGCCACAGAGAGAAAACTCAGAGCTTTCCTGTGCCCACTTTTTAATTGTCTTCAACTCAAAATTCCTTCCTTCTGGAGGAAATGTACTTTGGTCTCCTCCAGTGGCCGACTTTGGCTTTCCTGGCTTGAGTTGTACAACTGTAGTCTCTGCCTTCATTGTCACATCGCATTTTCTCTGCACACCTGTGTCTTTTAGGACTGTCTTCATAAGAGCACCCGTCACATCTGGTGGCACCCCCCCCAAGTATACAATGTCCCCTTCCCTCAGCCAGTCATATCTACATAGCCTTGTGTCGAAAAGTCTCACATTCAGCTGGGGATATAGCTCAGTGGCCTAGGTGCCTGCCTGGCTAGTGCAAGGTCCTGAGTTCAATCATCAGAACTGCTAAAAATAAATAAACAAGAAAAAGCTCACATTCTTGACTTCAACACTTCTCTTTTTGAAGGAAACAGTTCAACCCATGCTGCCCACCTCACTTCACTATATTTTATTTTGGGGCCACTTACTGTAAACTGCTTTTGGTTTTCAAGACTGTTTCTTGAAGAATTGAACACGGAATCTTTTTTGTTTTGATTGATTTGTTTTTATAGTAGACTCTTTTTCCTGATAGCATAAGGCTTCATAACCCCAAAGAAGGTTTTGATGATGAGCAGAGAGAGCAGTTGGGTCTGGAGTTTTATATGAGGCTTTGCTTTGCTACCATTTTGTGGGCTGTCTCTTCATTGTGCTAGTTTCCTTTGCTGATCAGGAAGTTTTTTTGTATTTTTTTTTTTTTTTTTTTTTTTTTTTTTAACTGGGGATTGAACTCAGGCCCTTGCACTTGCCAGGCAAGCACTTATTCTACTGAGCCATCTCTCTGGCCCTTTGAGACTTTGCTTTGAAGCCTTAAAGCCTGCATCAGGCCCGGCGGACCTTGTGAAGTGACGATGAAAGCTTTGGCTTTGCCACACTTTCGGATTGTCCCAGCAGCTTCTGCTGTTCTTGTTCTGGAGCAGATGTCTTTAAATTGTGTGCCAACAGAATTGGCACCTTGTACTTTTCTCTTGTACTCAATCTTATTTGCTATAACTATTCAATTTCCTAAGTACTTTGCATGAAGAGATGGGTACAGCTCTGTTGAGGGCATCAAGGGCAGATTGGTCCCTTGGGGTAGCAGCAGACAACTCCGAGGCCCATCTTGGCCAGATCAGTGACTTTAAGGTCTTGTGTACTGTGGCTGACCTCTAAGTAGTTTTAGCAGGTCAGGGAAAATTATATTGGCCTGAAGAAGATGGTTCAAGTGAAATGCAGCCTTGGCTAGTAATAAGGAGCCATGACTGATGGCATGGACCGTTCACGGCCATGTGCGCCTGGGCAAGTGTCTATCCACCATACCTGTTTATAGTGAGGCAGGACAGGTGTTGGCACATGGTAAGTGTCAGCAGCTATTCTCTTCAGAGGACCCGTTCTCTCGCTTTCCTTAGACACTCTTGCTTTTTAACCTTTCCAACTGGTTTTCAACATCATTTTCCTTTTGGAGGCAACTAAGGATGAAGTTTGAGAAAGGAGAACAGCCAATGTGTCTTACGTGATACAGAAGGAAATCTAATTAAACAGGATTTTTAAAAAAGCTTTGGCAAGTATCCCTGCAGTGTCCTACACTGGCACTGGCACTGTATGAGGGTATTAGGGCTGCTGGAAATAAACTCAGCAGAGCACTGGCGAGCCATTGCAGTGGCTAGGCATTCTCTGCAGGGAGGAACTGCAGACAAGCGTGTGCAGAAAAGCCAGCATTCCTGGGATGAGCTCATCACCAAATGCTTTATCTTCCACACGTATGAAAGAATCCAAAGCATGTTTGCTCATTTTGGCATTGGCTTTCCAGGCAGCTCAGAGTGAAATGAAGCAGTGGGCAGTGATTCTCTTCTCTTTTTTAATTTTTTTGTGGCATGAGGATTGAACTTTGGGGTACTCTACCGCTGTAAAAACAGTGTCTCTGTAAGTTGTACTTTTTAGCCTCCAGCTTGCCATCTCTCGCCACTTTTAGGGCTAGTGAGAATACACCGTGAGTCTTGGCTCCAGAGTGGCTGATTCAGTAAGAATGAGGTGGGGCCCGAGAGTTGGTTTCTACTAATCCCAAGTGATTCTACTCATCCAGGCTCCACACTTGGAAACCATTATGGTAGCTGCCAGAAGTGATGTGTGTGGAGCACATGGGCCTTTAGTCAGGAGAAAGTGGGTTCAAATTCTGAGACTGTTGTTCTTAGCAAGAGTCCTGTTAAGCAAGGAGTATCTCTGAGATTTGAGTTTCTCCTATGTCTCCTCTTTCTCTTCTTGTCTAACTTCATCTTCCTTTTTGTAGTACTACAGATTGAACCTAGGGGGCGCTCTACCATTGAGCTATATCCCTAGACCTTTATATTGTGTTGTATTGTGTTTGAGACAAATCTTGCTGAGTTGCTCAGGCAAGTCTCTAATGTTTAATCTTCCTCCTTCAGCCTGCCTCAGAGTTGAGATTATAGGCATGTGCTCTCATGCCTGGCTGTTTCTTCTATTTTTAAGTGGAAATAATAAGATCCACCTTATTGCTGGGTGTGGAGACACATTCCTGTAATCCCAGCACTGGGTAGGCTGTGACAAGAGAATCACTGAAAGTTCGATGCTAGCTTGGACTACATAACAATACCCTGTCTCAGGAAAAAAAAGAAAAGAAAAATAAAAAGATCCACCTTATTAAAGTCATTACAAAAGTCAGATAAACTTTCTAAGGTATTTTGTTCACTGCCTGGTTTGAACTAAACGGGAAAATTTTTCATTAATTTATTTTTTGTTAAGATTTTTTGCAGGTCACATAAATATTTGTGAATATCTGGACAACCAAGTTTATCAAATAAATAGTGTAACTGAAGCTTTTCTAAATATTTCACTAGGATTTCAACCTCACAATCCCCATGTCCTGGGCTCTGTGTTAGAGTACTTGTCTATCATGCATTAGACTATGGGTTTGATCCTCAGCACTGCAAAGTAAAATAAAGTAAAATAAAATAATCCCCGTGTCCTCTTTCAAATTGGTGTGTTTATTAGTGTGTGTGTGTAGTTTTTTTTTTCTTTTGCTAAAACAAGTTATTTAATCTTTACTGAACAGTTGCAGAATAGTTCAGGAATTTCATCCTCCTCTAAAATTGCACACTGCAGTTTTCACATATTTTCATGTGTAGGTAGTAAGGAGCAATGAAAGGTCACAGCTAGAGTGCAAGCCTTGCGTTTTCATAATCCATAAACTGTTGTACAGGATCCCGCTACAGTTTTGTTATTATACTGAGAAACAATCATCTGACTGTCCTGCACAAAATCACTCAGAGAGCTTCCTAAACAACTAGAATTTGTGTCTAAGGATACGACCCAGCGTCTATAGTGTGTGTGGGGATGGCCCTGTGTATTTGGCAGCCTCCATAGTACAGAGACAACATTTTGGGAAGCATCAGAGTTGGTCAGAAGAGTTCAGACTCTGTTCAAGTTCGGATTCTGCCACCTGCCTCACTCCATGGCCTGAGCTAGTTCTGCGGTCTGCTCAGCTCTCGATGCCACGCATGTGACACAGGTCTCGCTTGCATACCAAGGCTGCTGTGTTTGTCTGAGTTAACACACAAAGCACACAAACCCTCCTCCAGTGCTCTTCTGCCATACCAAGTGTGGAGGGGGGCTCAGGAAGAGAAACACAAGCCCTTAGGGGACAGAGCTGAGATGCTGCCTGTTGGCTATGTCATCTGTAAAATATGAAGCCTGAGGGGAGAGAACTCACCAGAGATTGTTTGAGTGACTGACTTCTGTTTAGATTCAACATGTTCACAACTAGATTTTAGCTTGTTAGAATTATTTACTTACAGCTTCAGAACTTTATTTTAGATGCCTTAAAATTAAACAGTGCTGGACTGTATTGAAACAGATGGTTCAGTCTGATCTATTGAATCAGCAGATTATAATGTTTTACTGTGCCACAACATTACTTTTCCGTTCACTTTAATGTAACAAGATAATGTCCCTTCATGAAAATATTAAACCCTGTGGAAGAGCCTAAATGGAGCCATATTTAATACAAGACAGCACAGCCAATAAATAGTATTTGGTAACAGGACAGGAAAGGCCTGCTTAAAAAGAAAATATAAACTATATGGATTTGTATGCAAAGCTATACCATATAAGTACATGTTTAATTTTTCACAATGTCTTCCTGGTTTCTGTCTTCTCTTAAGCAGGTTTAGAATATATTAGTCTTTCAGTAATACGGTCTTTCCCAGACTACTGATGTGTTTCTGACTTATGTGCTTAAAATTCATAGCGTGGCAGTTTTTATTTCCATGCCATTGCTAAAGAGCTTTGATGTCTGTGGAGCTTTGAGAGGGGACCCTCCCAGCTGCAGTCACAGATGCACTGAAGAAAGCATCAGCATGGACAATGCAGATAGGATTTTCATTTATTGGTCCTTGAGTGTAGGGTTCCCCAAGGACCGTGGTCAACCTTAGGACTGTTACTTCTGTGAGAGGTTTATGGAAGGATTCTGAATTATCACTTAAAAACAAAGAAGGCAGGGAAAATTCAGCTTTCTCATTGTTTTTAATGCAGATGCCACTTTAAAGCAAATACTCGACTGTCGCCAGGACTGACATAATCCATTGACTAGTGAACCCATATGTCAAATGTATAGTTGTTACACAAGAGAAAAAAAAGAGGGGCCTCATAACCTATGTGGTAGATGCCATATTGCCTGCAGGTTGAAGAAGGAGCTACTCTGGAAGCATGCCTGGGATGCAGGAAGGTGTGCAGATTAGGAGTCCGTGTTTCCCAGGTGCACATGAGAACGTGCATATATAGTGTGTAGAGATGCCACTTTGAACTAGTGGGACTTTCAAGTGTTTCCTTCTAGGTTGGACACCGAGGGACAGTAAGAGATTATCCAGGCTTTAGCCCATCAGTGGATGCTGAAGCGATCCGTAAGGCAATCAGAGGAATCGGTGAGTATATTTTGCAATTAAGTCTCTTCTTATTTTTAAGCAAATCAGGAAAGTTATGACCTAAAGGTACCCAGGTTCAGTTTGCCATTAGAAAATTCCACCAGGGAAATTGTTGGGGATTTTTAAAAGTGTGAAACAAGGAAGAAAAAGTGTAGGGAACCTGGTTTTATTATCTCTTACATTTGCAGTATTTACATAATATAAAAACTACCCCCCTCTCCCCACCTCCATGGCTGGTCATTCCGGATACACTTCCTCTTGATTCTTCCTGGGTTTCATTCCTGCTGCATTGCCTGAAGATGGTCACCATCTTGAATTAGAGCTTATTCCTCTGTAACTTTCGGTGCCATGACCGCATAATTGTGGTGCATGAACTTGACCAGTAAAAAGTAGATTTGTACTCTACACATTCTTCTTCATTTTTTATCCCTTAACATAGTATATTTGAAACTTATCTCTGTTAATATGTTTAGCTCTAGTTCATTAATTTTAACTGCATAGTAGTCTATTGCCTATTATATTGTACAGTGGGAACACTGATGAAACATGTAAATTGCCTGCAATTCCTTTCTATTACAGTATAAAAAGATTGTAATGAATATTTCTGCTTATGTTTCATTGTGCACATTGGCTTGCATTTCTGTAAAATATGACAAGAATTGGAATTTCCACATAGAAGGGAATGCTTATTTTCAAATTAATTAGAAACTTTGCCAAGCTGTTCCCTAAATAAGTGCAGAAAATATCATTCCTTCTACCAATGTATAAGCACGTATTCATGGAATATAGAACAAGTAGAAGGTTCACAGATAAGTCTTATTATAATCAGCGTGGCCCTAGGGAGATAGCTTGGTGGTCTAAGTGCCTACCTGGCAAACGCAAGGACCCAGGTTCGATCCCCGGTATCACATGCAGGCCTCACTCCCCCACTGAGCAGCTGAGTGACTTTGGCTTTCTGAGTGTTGGTGGCTTCACCTTTAGGGAAGCTTAGTCATAGATGCTACACAGAGCCCTGCCTGTTCGCTATGACAAGGAATGGAGGAGTGCCTGGTTCCTGATAGGTTCTCATTAAATGTCAGCTCCTGTTCTCTGCAGAGCGAAATTTGGTTGCCAGGCATGGGGATGAGAGCTCTGAGGTGCTTACTGACTGCATTGGGTGAAACAGAGGCTGCTCACACTGTGCTCTCTGTGTCACTACAGACAGGACTGGACAGTGATTGACAGTGCTTACCCGCCCACAACCAGGAAAATAAAAACATGGAGATTCCATACGCTTCTCTCCATAAAGTGGAAAAGAAAAACATAAAGATTCTATCCTGCTGGAAATTCAAAAGTAAAATGTTCTACTCTGCAGGTGTTTCAAGTCACTGATCATTTTTCTTAGGTTAAAGATTGATACTGAGCATCTTAGAGTTGGTGATGAGTAAAGTAATTTCTGTTTCATCCAGGAACTGATGAGAAAACGGTCATCAGCGTTCTGACAGAGAGGTCCAATGCACAGCGGCAGCTGATTGCGAAGGAATATCAGGCAGCCTACGAGAAGGTACGGTGCGAGGAACACAGCAGGAAAGACGCGGCAGCCCGCCAAGAGCCTGAGGTCTGAGTCCTGGTTTTGCCATTAAGTGGCTCAACGGCCATGGCGCCTGAGCTTCTTCATCTGTGGCATGAAGCACCTTGTCTGATGCCAGCCGCTCTAGCCAGGAATAATTCTGCTCCTGACAGCATGCACAGCCTAGGTGCAGACATTAATCCTGCACATGGGATGGGTGCAATTTTGGTTTCCAGCTGGTAGAGGTTAAGGATGGTGCCATGATCTCCATGGTCCCCAAAGCACCCTGAAGCAGAAGCATCTGACCAGCAGTCCAACGAAGCCTGGCTCAGATGATTGTTTTGGTTACTTTCTCTCTGCTGCTAAGGAATCAAAGGTTTACTTAGCTCACAGTTTGTGGAGGTTTCAGTCCATACTCAGCTGGCTCCAAGGCACAGTGGCACATGGCAGAGGGCAGCAGTTCATGGCGGTAGAAAACAGCAAAGAGCAAGGGGAGGAGCAGCAGCGGCAGCAGCAGAAAGCGAGCCTCTCTCCCTTCCTTATGCTGCATCCGGGCTGTCAGCCCCAGGGAAGGGTAGCACTCACACCCATCATTCCAGCATTGGATCATGAATTAATCACAGACTCTAGAAGTTCACCCCAGTGACTGCATGAAGCCTTGGGGGACACCTAGATAGAAACCAAACAATGATTTTTAAATTCTTTCCTGATTTTAGAATATGTACATAGTTGAAGGCTTACTTCACTCAGCAAATGAAAAGTGAGTGTCAGAGGCTTAGCTAAGAAGGAGCAAGGCGTGGTGGTTGGTGAACACTTTATTTGTCCATACCTTTTGGTTGAGTGCTGTCTGTCTTGCGAGATGTGGACAATGGAAACACCAACATGAAGAGCAGGCCCTCCCACCCTCTGTGAGCTCCTATTTTATTAGACAAGTAATAAACAAGTAAATAAGATAAGTTCAGATGTTAATAAGAATTATGAACAATTTAGAATGGGTGTTGTACCGGAGGGGACTGGTATTGGCTCCCTCAAGGGGGTGCAAAGAAATGCCAGGGAGCCGGCCATAGTCTAATGCAGACAGCAGGACAGAGACTGCTGTGCTTGACCTGCAGTGGGAAGAGCATTTCAGGAACAGAAAACCAGCAGACGCAAAAAGCTGTGGCAGCCCTGAGGTGGGAATGCTGGAGGACAGAATGGCAGTAGAGATGGAAGGCAGAGCTGGAGAGGCAGGAAGAGAGTCGAGGCCACAGAGAGGTTCAGAATCGGCTGGGCCTTGGGTCTTGAGAGTTTTCCTTTTTTGTTTGCTTTCTTGTTCTTTAGAGATGGGATCTCAGTCCAGCTATCTTAGTCACTTTTGTCACTGCTGAGACAAAAATTCTTGACCCCCAAAGTTAAAGGAGGAAAGGCTTTTTTTGCTCACAGTTTGTAAAGGTTTCAGTTCATAGTTGGCTGGCTCCATGGCAGAGGGATGGCACAGAGGACAGACTCTATGGCAGGCAGAAGGCAGCAAACAAGCAGTGACCCTCATTCTGTCCCTCACATCCTATCCAGGCTGCCCGCCCTTAGGTCAGGAGCACTCGCACCCAGGGTGGGACAGCCTTAATCCCAGCATTGCACCATGAATCTCACATCCCTCATCCCAGCAGCACACTCCCTTGATCCAGCCACCTCCAAAAGGCCCCACCTATGACCAGATGAGTCTTGCGGGGAGATCCATGCCCTGGCTGTAGTGATCCTCCAACTTCCCCCATCAAGCTCTCCAGCGGGACTATAAGCATGAGTCACCGTGCCTAGTGACAAAACATTTTCTTTGTTTTGAGACAGGGTCCCAGTGTGTTGCCCGAGGTTGTCTATCATCTGCGCTGAAGTGATCTGGCCTCAGCTTCCTGACTGCTGGAGCTATAGGCATGAGCCATGGCACCCAGTTGGAGTCTTGGTTCTTTATACAGACTTTAGGTTTTATTCTAAGGACACTAGGGAACCACTGGAAGTTGGCTAGCAGAGGAATAATAGAATCCAGTTTATATTTTTAAATGATGATATTGTCCACTGTGGCTAATGGACTGTGGAAAAGAAAGAGTGGGAACAGAGTGGATGGAGGCCCAACCAAAGCCTGTACAGGCAGCTTCTCCTGTCGGTGTTCTCCAGCCACAGACAGCAGCTCTCCCTTCTTGGAAATACCTGTAGCAGATACATAGCATATTGCATTGAAATTTTATCTTTGAAGGCTTCCACTGGTCCCCTGAGTGTAGGATATCTGAGGGGTAGGGGTTGTGTCTGACTTTCCTTTAAACACTGACCTCATAACAGGTCCCTGGGAGTATGTGTTGCACTGGATTAATTTCCAAGCATCTGGGCCAGGTGCCTCATCTACAAGTCTTTCAGTATTCCTGAGTGTGTGAGCCAGAAGTGAAGGATAGCTGCTTCTCACAGTGAGATGTGATGAGTGCGTGTGAGGGCAAGTCAGCTGTGATGTCTTGGACGGAGGACAGGTGGTAGTGAAAGTTAGCATGTACAGAGGAAAGAGCCCACTGGTGACTGAAGCAGAGTAGTGCCACAGAGCTTGTCCCATGGCCCTGGTGACATGGCAGTGTCAGTCTGTAACATTCTAGTAGTCAGGTGGTCTGCCAGCCCCATGTCAGACCTGCAGGGAAAAGCCAGTCAGTGCCACGCCTTTGGATGCTGGAAATAGAACCATGTTACTGGTTTATATGTGGGAGAGAGGGACTATATGTATGTGAGAAATCAGCACCAAAGGACAGAGCCAAGAAGTCGTGGCCCCCCCTTTGCCACACTTGAGGCTTCCTTTGCTTTTGTCACCAGGCAGTGGCTTCTGATGATTCCCAATTCGAGGCTCTTACACACTGGAAGGCTCCCACACACTGTCTTCCTTCCCCTTTCTTTTTGGAGGTGATTGGAATCATCAAGAAGCACGGTGCAGGAGGAGTAGAGTTTCAGTTCAAGCTGCCATTGAAACTCTGGTGTGAATTTTAAGGGCTCTTCTTCCTCTCTTCTTGCTTCATCTCAAGCACTGAAAACATCAAGGACTTAGTACTGACTTTATTATTATGAATTATTCTTTCAGTGTGCATAGTTGTACGTAATTCAGTGCCTGCACAGAACATGTAATGATCTCACTGGGGGACTTAGAGGAAATGCATTTTAACAAGCAATTCCTCACCGTAGTGCCCATGCATAGCACCCCTGTAGCTTTTTCCTAAAAATCCCTTATGAGGCTGAGGCTTTAGCGTAGTGATAGAGTGCTCGCCATCTTTAGCACCACACGCACATGCAAATCCTCCATAAAGCAGAGTATGTTGGCACAGCAACCACGAAGAACAGTAGCCATGGCTCTATGCTATCCCATGGCTGTCGGCCTCAACAAGGGCCGCAAGGCACAGCCGCCCTCACAGACAACTCACCAGACACACCAAGATCATGTGGGACATGATCCGGGAGGTGTGCGGCTTTGCCCCTACAAGCGGAGCACCATAGAGCTGCTCAAGGTCTCCAAGGACAAACATGTCCTCAGGTTCATCGAGAAAAGGGTGGGAATGCACAGCTGCACCAAGAGGAAGTGTGAGGAGCTGAGCAACGTGCTGGCCACCGTGAGGAAGGCAGCTGCCAGGAAGGACTGAGCCCCTCTGAAATAAAGCTTAGCAGAAAGTTAAAAAGAATCAAAAAACAAAGGAACAAAACAGTATGTTGGGGGCAACCATGAAATGCAGATTAATAGCCATAAAACTATTTTCTCCATTTGTCTGTCTCCACTGTGGATGGGCATGCTTTTGTCTTATTTCATTACTCTGTTCATCTTTCACTAGGTGATTTAAGGAAGAGAAATGCAAAGAATTTCACAACTTCCTCCTTGGCTTTTGTTGTAGGAACTGAAAGACGACCTGAAAGGTGACCTCTCTGGCCACTTTGAACATCTCATGGTGGCTCTTGTGACTCCCCCAGCAGTGTTTGATGCAAAGCAGCTAAAGAAGTCCATGAAGGTAAGAGCATCACCCAGGGCTGGATGCTGTCACCTGGAAGCCGTCCTGGTTGGCCCCCCGCGTGGTGGGGTGGCTTGGACGTTGGGGCAGCTGTGGAGCCCCAGACCCACTGTGTCTGCACTGGAAGAATTTGGTCATGCCCTTATTTTATTTTTTTTGACATGACTAATTCTCAATTTTGTTGTTGAAACTAAGTGGCACTGTCACCAACTCCACTGCTGAAAGCCCAAGACTTCGTGTGTATTGTCTTTGGCCACTTGCTTTGCCTTCTTCAGGGCTCTTAAATCTGTGAACAAGCCCATTAAGTCTACTGCAAAACCCACTGCAGAAGTTGCTTCTAAAGTGAGATTACTCTATTCACACACAGAAATTTCCAGTGGCTTGGACCACTTAAATGCACACTTTTTGTGCCCTTGTCACCTATCTAAATCTAACCCCTGTCTCAGAGTTTTAAGCTTCTTTGTTTGCCGGAGACCTCCAGAGAAGCAGGACAAGTAGGTGAGGGGGTGTATATTGAGATGGATTGTGAGGAATTGGTGCAACAACGATGGGGCGAGGTGAACAAGTCCGGAACTGCAGGGCAGGAGTCAGGAGGGGAAGGCTGGACTCAGGGCAGGATCTTGTCTTTAGGGCAGTGTCGGCTCCAGTCTTCATGCCTTGCTGTAGGCCTGACCTGGCCCGTTAGAGTCTAGCATATCTAAGCTCGTTTCCCCTCCTCAGTGTCAGTTGATGTTGGACAAAGCACCTTCCTGGCAACACTTGGCTTAGGGTTGGGCTGAACAACTGGGGACTGTGGTCTGGTCAAGCCACTTATACCATGGCCATTGCACCCTCACCCTTCCATCTTCATTTAGTGCCATAGCTACAGTGGCCTCTGTCTGGTTCTTTTTTAATTTTTAAATTTTTTTTTTAATTTATGTATTTTGTACAGGGTCTTGCAGCTCGGACTCGTAGTTTTTCTCCTGTTTTCAGCCTCCCCAGCACTGGGATTAAAGGCATGCATCACCATACCCAGTCTTGGTTGCTAGATCGGCCCACCCATGAGGGCAGAGCCGGCATAGCGGGGGGGGGGGCAGATACTGGGGATTGAATCCTGGTCCCTGCACTTGTCTAAGCAGGTGCTTAGTCCACTGAGCTATCTCACAAGTCCTCTGTCTGCTTCTTGAACATTACTGTGGGCTTTGCATATCCTCCTTTCATCATGAATATTTCTCTTCTAGATATTATTAATTTATTCAACTTTATATTTAAATTTTTTTAAATTTTTATTTTTCTGAATTTATTCCCAAGCCGTAAGTTTTTTCCTTGTTTTGCATTTGCTTCTGGGACATTGTTTTTATCTGCGCACCATGCCTTTCTGGCTCAGAGCAACGAGGATCACCTCTGTGTGGCAGGAGGCTCACTGATGGGTTAAGCCGACCATGCGCAACGAGAGCGCTCCACACATCACGCGTGCTCCGCTCCCCTGGATCTGTTTGGCGTGCAGAGAATCTACAACATGACCCTAAAGCACAGCAGCTCTCTGTGCGTTTTAAAGCATCCACAGCAAAAGGCAGCAGCCTTTTAGAGGCTCTAGCTTTGTGTCTGCTCCACTGCATGGCCTGTGCCAAATCTGCATTATTAATGCCAGAATGGCTTCTTTAAAGGGACATCTTTCAGATTCTTGGAGGCTTTTGGATGTGCAGGCCCTTGATGGCCTGGACAGTTTCACAGGTGTTCTTTAAAGGCCCCTGAAGATTTGGTCCTCTGGATTTGCATGATGTTGGGTCTTCTGGGTCGAGATGGTAGAGAACCATTTTCATAATCACCTTGGGCCACCAGCACAAAGAGCCACTTTTACTTTTTTAATTGCACTTATTGCCACATAAACTGGTTGTTTTCTTCCTTCGTACTTCCTTCAAAAGTTTTTTAGTCTAGTTTATCGTTTTTCAGCTGACTTAAAAGGCAAATGTGTATCACGACCAGAACCTCATGAGTCTTCATTTGCATCTTTTTCTATTCTTTTAATTTTTATTTTTAAATTTTTTTTGTGGTACCAGGCATTGAACTCTGGACCTTAGGCTTGCCAGGCAAGCACTTTCATTAGTATCTTCTGATCCTGGAGTAGAATCTGAAATGAAGTGGGTGCTGAACATTTTTATTGCCAGGAAAGAGGGAAAAGAGAAGGGTCCAGGTCTGAGGCATAAGCAGTAGGCCCTCCCCACAGGGATGAGCATTTTTTTCTTTTCTATGGAAGAGTTATGGGCATCTGAGAACCAGATGGCAAGATGGAACTGGGCACACAGCAGATGTGTTGTGAAGAATACCTGTGAAAGGTAGAGGAGACAGCCCGCAGGGTGTGTGCACCCCCCAGACTACAGTGCGGTCTGATGCCTTGAAGGAAAGGACCTGAAAAATACAGCCTTTATTTGATTCAGTGGGTACCAGGTTAAAAGTTAAAGGATCTGTTATTAAATAAGAAAAAAAAAAAGAGACATTGAGGGTCACTGGGAACCCCTCCCACAGGCAGACAGAATCAAGTCTCGTCATACCTTCATTGGCCTTATTTGATCAAGTCCTATTGTCAGAGGCTTTCTCTGGAGTTGTATTGTGATTCGGTGACTCAGAATAAACAAGGTTGAGAGGTAACTGGTGTCCAAACCAGCCAGGCCCAGGACCCACACTTGCTGCCCTGTGCAGTACAGCAGTGCAGAGGTGGATACACAGAGAGGACACGGCCTTTTCTATACATTGCTGAGTTTGACTACTTCGTTGAGTTAATTCTTATGGAAAACCACTTGTAGTTTTTAACATCGTAGGCCTTTTCCTTTATATTCTTTCTTCCTAAAGTGTATTCAGTTGATTTTTTGCAACAGAGTAGGACATTTTCTTGAACATTTGATGTCAGTTTACTGCAGTTGACTTGTGTTACTTTAATACTGAAATATATGGGAAATTTTAAGAACCTCAGAGCAACATGAGAGCATACGCTGATTTACTCAAATAGTTCTCTCGTCTGTAAGAAATATGATATTAAGAATGAAAGGCATGAAATTAAATTTTTTAAGTGTTCTAAAAGTATTTAGATTTCCTTTTCATTTTTAGGGCACTGGAACAGATGAAGATACCTTGATTGAAATCTTAACTACCAGAACAAGCAGGCAAATGAAGGAGGTCTCGCAAGCCTATTACACAAGTAAGCTGCTTTTTCTGCTCACCTTTAGCCCTGTTCACGGGTTGTGAGCTAAGTTCCATTCCCTAGAAGCCCACCAATCTCTTCTCAAGCCAATTGGAGACAGCAAGGGTCACAGACAGGATGCATTCTCCAATAAGCTGTGGATTTTCAGAAAGAATTAGAATGTAATTTGAGCTAGAAACTGCTGCATAACAATGGCTTAATATTTTGCATTTATAATATTACAGTTGCAGTGAATTCTGCTCTCAGCAATCACTTAATTTTTTGAAATTACTAAGTTTATTGATACATTTTAGACATACGTAATGATGACATCCATCATAGGGATTATGTGCCTGTACATGATTTATCTTGCTTCTTCCTGTTTTTTTTCCCCATTTCCCTCCCTCCCTTCATCCCCTCTTCCCCTCCCTATTTACAAAATTTGTTTCCATTTTTCCTTCCTGTTTTTTTTTTCTTTTCCTTTCCTCCTTTTCCCCTTCCCTCCTCCTCAGTTCCCCTTCCTGTTTGAACATTTCCTTCCCACTTAGACACTTTGGTCCTTATGTATAGTTTAAGTTTGTCACCAAAGAAACAGTGCAATATTTGCATGTGTGTCCAATTTGCATTTATAATATGGAGTATGGAGGTAAGGTACATCCATTTATTTAGAAATGTTCCAAGTTTATCCTTAAGGCAGAGTAGTACTCTCTTGTATTAAAAAAAATCTTTATCCATTTATTGATTGATAGGAATTTGGGCTATTTCCAAGATTTCACAATTACAAACTTTGCTGCTATAAATAGGTATGCATACTCACTGTGGTATGATATCTTTAATTCTTTTGGGGAGATAAAATGAAGGGGAATAGCTGGGTCAAATGGGACCTCTAGTTTTATTATTATTTTGTTTGTGGCTACCTCAGCCCACCCTCTGGGCAGGGCTATGTGGCATGTGGTGCCAGGGATTGAACGCTTGCCTAAGCAGGTGCTTTAGACCACTGAGCTGTCTTGCCAGCCCCTCTAGTTTTTTGAGTAGTCTCCACACTGATTTCCACAGTGGTTGCCCCAGTCTACTCTCGTGCCAGCAGTAGAGAAGGTTTCCTTTTCCCCCACAACCCTGCCAGCCTCTGTTATTTTCTGATTTCTTGATTCTGGAGTGAGCTGGAATCTCAGCATTGTTTTAATTTGCCTCTCTTGAATGACTAGTGATGTTGAACATTTTTTCATGTATTTATTTGCCATTTGAACATCTTTATCTGAGAAATGAGTATTAATTTCAGATGTCCATTTTTAGATTGAGGCTTTAAACCTTGGGAGATTTGATTTTTTTACCATAATTTTATTGAGAAACAAATAGCAATGAGACAGTTTCAAATCAAATTGGTATTACAGTTTCAA